AATTTAGATCGCACGATTTGACCAAGTATTGACGACACAGGGTTGGTTTGAACGAACGGCACTATGGCAGCCACTATGGTCTTAGAACACAAGATAGGAAAAGTTAGGAAGAGTTACGAGTTGGGAATGACTCCCAGCTCCTACAAACCCCAAGAGCCGAGGTACAGTGATGTGGAACAGTGCCACACTGTCCCCAACCACGAAGGGTCTCGAAACTACCCTTCACTAGGGCCTACACCAAGTGAAATGTTACACTACACAAAGTAATGTAACTATCTTCAATATCTTGAGGTGTACCCTTTTGGCGAGCTTTGAAATCACTTGTGGATTGACACCAAGGCTCGGCTCTTCATCACAAACTCATCCTTGAGTTCTTGATGGGTCTGCTGCACACACCTGCGACACAGCGAACGTTCGACACAGGACAAAAGAGAAACCGCGCACGACAAAATAGAAACCGCGCGCGAGACACAAACGACCGCGTAACACGCGTCTAGCGATAACTCGCTATTGACTCGACACATACACTCGACATCATGACTCAACATTCACACACAATTATAAGCATTAAATATATATTATCCCATGCCCTCATACCATTCCATAGACACACACACATGCACGCACACGGACAACAAGCCGAGTGCAAACCATAGGGTTGCACGAACAAACTCCCCCTCGGATTGTTGGCCTTAGGATGTGTTGCTCTGTCAGTTCAGAGCCATCCCAGCCAGCTTGCAACACTTCCAATGCTGCTGCTCCACCAGCCTCTTGGTCATCATGTCAGCCGGCTGCCCCGTGGTCTTCACGTAGCGCAACTCAACTTCACCCGCGGTTACCATGCTCCTCGTCCAATGCCACTTCACCCTCATGTGCTTCGTGCGTCCATGCAACACAGGGTTCTTAGCAAGAGCAATGGCACCCTGGCTGTCACAATACAATGGGGTAGGTCCTTGCTGCTCCTCCCCCAATTCAGCCAACAAACGCCGCTGCCACACAATCTCCCGTACGGCACGGAAGAGTGCCATGTATTCGGAGTCCACCGAGCTCAAAGCTTGGTCAACCTGCTTCTTGCTCTCCCAAGCAGTTGGGCCTCCACCAACACAGCATATGAAGCCTCCCACACTTGTCATGTCCTCTGGTTCTGATGCATATGAAGCATCCGAGTAGGCGGTGAGGAACAAACGCCCGGGTTCAACACCATCCGCGCCCTTTTGGCGCCTTTGTGCCGCCGCCGAGTATTGCAGCCCAACGGTCGCTGTTTGGCCAAGATACTTGGACACCCTCATTCCAGCTGCTACCTGCTCCTCATTAGGGCATTGCACAACCCTAGCCAGCTGCCCGGTAGCAAACGCGACGTCCGGTCGGGTGTTTACCGCCGCATACATGAGGCTGCCCACCAACGAGTGAAATCGGCGCCTCTCCTCTTCTCCAACGCTCTCCTCCTCTGGCCCCTTCACACACTTGAACCCAGAGGGAAAGGGAGTAGCCACATGACCTTCACTCTGGCCGAAGTTGGCAGCCAACGCCTCCAGGTACTTCCGTTGGTGCACTCGCATGCTCCGCTTCTCCACGTCTCGTTCGATGTGGAGCCCAAGGTAGAAGTTCACGTCACCAAGGGACTTGCACTTGAACTTGTCATGCAGCTTCAGCATCACCTCCTTCACAAGGTCAGAGGAGGGTGAGAATATGAGAATGTCATCCACATAAACCACCATGAAGCTCCTCTGCTCCCCCTCGCCAAGCATGGACAAGGAGTGATCGGCCGTTGAGGGAGTGAAGCCGATCTCCTCCAACACTTCGCGCAGCTTCATGTACCATTGCCTAGGGGCCTGCTTCAGCCCATAGAGGGCCTTCTTCAGCTTCCACACTCTGCCACTACCATCATCAAACCCCTCTGGCTGTGCCATAAAAATCTCCTCCTCAAGGATGCCGTTAAGGAATGCCGTCACAATGTCCATTTGCTTCACCACCCATCCTTTGATGGCGGCTCCCGCGAATAGGGTTCGCAGCGTCGTCGGCTTCACCACAGGGTCAAACAGCTCCTTGAAGTCCACCTTCTCCTTCTGCTGGTACCCCTTGGCTACAAGCCTAGACTTGAGGGTGTTGCGCTACTTGTGCAGTACGTCGGGCGTGGGGCTTGTGCTTGGAGGACGCGCTCGAGTTGTCCTCACTGGTCACGCAGACGCTTCTTGGGCTGACGACTTGGCTACGCAGTGGTCGTCAGAGGGTTACACCTTCAGCCTTGGCTCCGGCTCTGTTTCTTGGCGGTCACGCCGCTTGTCTTCTGTTCTCAGCTCCAGTTATGAGGCTGAGATCTACGTAGGGGCCATGGCTGCACAGGAGTTACACTGGCTCACCTACCTTTTGACCGACCTGGGAGAGCTGCCTTGTTCTCCTCCACTTCTGTACGTAGACAACAAGGCCATGCTGGCCTTGTGTCAGGAGCACAGACTGGAGCACAGAACGAAGCACATTGCTCTTCATTACTTTCTTGCACATGAGCTATAGTAGCGTGGTCAGCTGCGCCTTGCTTACATGGCCTCTGAGGCCAACACTGCTGATATCTTTACCAAGGCACTTCAGCCTTGTGATCATCAGCGGTTCCGTACTATGTTAGGTCTTGTGCCTACCTGGCCTCACTTGCTTACCTCCTGGCTTTGCTTGTACTGTGATCTATAGATACCGGCTCCTGCATGTTTACTCTTGCTAGGTTGGGATCACTGTCTTGCTTGTTCACCTTGATTTATAATCCTGCATGTGAACTGGCCTTGTGGCCTTTGAACTTGTGCTCGGAATGTGTGGTGACGTTGTGATCCACCCTGAGCTTGCTTCGCTTTGCTTGACTGGTCTTGTGACCCCTTGTTCTCCCCCACTTTGCCTATGGGGGTGTGTCAGACATATATGATATAGCCTGTGTAGGCTGTAGTGGGGTAGACAATATGGGGTACAGCTTTCCTAGGGTTTCATACTTGTACCTTTCTCATTCCTAGTCAATTCATTTCTCGTAGTTTCTTCACATTAGTTCTTGCGAGGAGAGAGGAAATCCCCATATCGCGGTGACCTTGGATCTTGAGCTTAGCTTTGGGAGCAAGTTGGGCGGCTTTAGCAACATAGTAATTCGCGAGGTGTTGCTGGGCCTTGCACGGGCGAGTGGCTGACACTGCGTCTAAAGGCATGGCGATATATTGTAGTTGGAGTTGGATAATGAGGTGGTGAAGGAGCTCAAGAATTTTGTGTACACGACATCTTTCCCGGTTGGAGATTTTTTTTATGCACAATGCAAGGGCATGTTAACGTGCGTCCCATTCTTCCGGAGACGGAGAGGGGGGCAAGGCGGGGATGAGATAGTCCAAAGCTTTAGCTATGTATGGACGGGAAAGGAGGGACGGGTTGAGCCTCCATCGACAGGGAGCTCTGGAGGGAAGCTCGAATGCTAGGGAGCATAATGGAGCATAGAAATTATTAGAAATGTTGCGAGTCAGTTCTGGATAGAGGTGGAGATGTACATTCGGTCCAGTCGAGAGGCGCGTGGTGGTATTGCAGGCGGAGGGCCCGCAAATGGGGGTATAGTGGGTCAGGATATTGCGGGAGCAGGGACCGCATGCGGAGGGCCCACAACATGGGTAATAGTGGGTCGGGGGACTACGGATCGGGGGACCACACGTCGGGGGGAAGTGCGAGGACGTCCAAATTAGGAAAAACGGTGGCGTTGGGGTGGAGAGCTCGGAAGGTATCAACGAGCGAGTGTTCGGATAGTAGAGCCTCGATGGCGGAGGCTTCACTTTGTTCATGACGGTTCAGGGGCCGGTTGCGATCAGAATGGTGGATTACAGAGTTGAAGTCCCCAATAAGTAAAGTTGCAGACGCAACTGATGGAGCATCTAGCATCGGAGCAAGGCATGAGCGCCACCAAGGGCGTCTGTTAGTGGCATGAGACGGGGCGCATATAGATATGGGTCTTATTTGCTCGTGGTGAAAATTGACATCGACGGAGAGAAGACGTCCGTCGATTGACGGTGTATGAGAGGTAAACGAGACGGAATTGTTAAAGACGACGACAGGGATGCCTTCGGGGGAGGGACGTGCTCTAGACGTGGGGGTTTTACAATGGCGGGCCATTGTGTGGGAGGCGTGAGGGCGAAAGCGAAGGTCGAGCCTTTTCACATTGTTAGTGAGGCGGGACAAGTATAACGATGTCAATATTCCATCCGTAGAAGTTGAGCCAACCTTTTACAACATTAATTTTAAAAGGGGCGTTCATTCCGTTGATATTGATGTATAGTATTCTGAGATATCTTATCGTGGTGGATAGGGTAGAGCCCATCGCGCACCAAGGTGAGTGAATCCATGGGCTAATAGACAATGTAGAATAGGGGTTCTCCTTTTCGATATGTTGGAGTGCACATGATGCTGAACAGGTAGAAGTATCAAAAGGTAGCATAACACTATGTTGTACGCAACAACGTACAGCAAAAGCAAGATAGGCATGCAAGTGTCCAACAACCACCGATCTACACTTGGGCAGGGAAGTCGGCAGCCTAGGGGAGAGAAATGAAGGCCGTAGCAATAATGAAATAGCGTATCACTTTGTTGTATGCAGCAGAGTTAAATCAATAGCAGAGCAAAGATAGAAGAATGCAAGTGTCTAACAGCCACCGATCTATAGCTGGGCAAAAAAGTCGGCGATATGGGGGAGAGCAACGAAGGCCATAGCCCTCAGTGTTCTTCTCCTTCACAGCATGGAGGTGGGTTGTTGAGAGCTTCTTGGAAGAGTGCAGCTCGGAAGCGATATGGGCCATAGGCGAGTCGAGAGCGGCGACGCATGTCAGGTTGCACAAGGCACAAGTCCAAGGCTTGACATCTGCTTCGAGGCCGATGTAGAGCAAACCGGGGTCATTGCGGAAAAGTGCATGCGTGGCACGCAAACCAAGCACCTGGCCTAGAAGGAAGGTTGGGTAGAGGACGAGATAAGAGGAACAAGAGCAGTAAGGGAAGGGTTAGATTACAGCGAAAATAGAGGAAGGGTGAGAGAGGGAATCAGAGGAAGATTGAGCAGCAGGTGAAGGAGGGGGGATAGAGTGGGAAAGGGCAGGGTGGGGGACAAGGGAAACTTGCAGGTGCGGAGTGGGTTCCTGGAGCCTGGCCCGAGAGGGAGTTGGGGCATAGGACGGGGTGAGTGGGACAAGGAGGGTATAGGCAGGTTGGGGAAAGGGGAGGGCTGCAAGCACATCCTGTGAGCCAAGAGACAGTCCTGAGGTGGAGGTGAGCCAAAGCTTGGGAGAAGGGGGAAAGAGAGGGTTGAGGCGGGTTGGGGGAACTAGGAGGGTTGCAAGTGCAACCCGCGAGCCAAGAGGCTGGCCAGAGAGGGGGGTGGGGCGGAACACGGGTTAGGGAGGACAGGGAGGGTAGAGGTGGGTTGGGGGTGAGGGAGGAGCTGCAATCATCGCGCTGCCTGCGTTTGGTGGGAAAGATCTCGTGATCCACGTCGCGGTGGTTATTGCCACAGAATGAGCACACGTGGGAGGAGATGTTGAGCAAAGCAGGGGGGGAGTCATCTTCGAAGTTGATGACCGTGGGGATGCGGAGGAAGCCAGGGTCATCCTGCGGGGGGAGCGGGATGCCAATGAAAATGGGAAGCAACATGTCCTCATACGGATCTTGGACCTAGTGGAAAAACTGACGGTCCATGAGCCACAAAGGTTCGCCCGCAACATCCGGATGCATCAGGAAGGTGCGAATGTCCTCTGGGGTGTAGCTCGGTGGGACATTACGAAGAGTCCGTGTGGCAGTGCCTCTCGCCTTGGCAGTAGTGAAGCGCGGGTTGCGATCAACGTACACTTTCAACAGCACCGAGCGGGAGTTGGGGAGGTGGAACGTGTGCGCGAAAGCCGTCCTAAGAAGGCCGAAGTAGAGGCGTGCGTATGCATGTCGGATGATACGGAGGACTTCCCAGATGAAGCCTGGAGCTCGGGGATGGCATTGGAGCATAAGTGAAACGGCTGCTAGTGCTTCGAAATGCGCATGATCAGATCGGCGCGAATTGCCTCCGCACCCGCCCCAGGAAAGAGAATTTCCACCACTGCGAGTCTCCGGCGGGGCATAACGGGAATGGAAATCGTCGACGAGGGTCATCTCATCGTCCGGGCTATGGAGCTGGGCAGCCATAGTGGGTGGGAGAAAAGGGGAATGCAGCGAGCGGTGATGTGAAAAAGGGGAGGGATATCGGGTTCACTACTTGGCAGCCCAGCGGAGTGGGTGCATAAGCAGCAAATGGAACTGGGCGGGAAAAGGCGTGTGCATACGCAGCCTCCATTGCAAGCCCGAGGCAACTGGGTGCCTAGGTGGCATCCTGAGTCAAAGTGGAACCAAAGTTTCCATTCTTTGATTCACGACATAGTAGAAAAGGGACACCGCGAGGAAAGCAAAATGAGAGAGGGCAGCGGAAAATAAACAGGCTGCGCCCTCAGTCCATTGAAAATACTGACCGTTGAGAACCAATACTGAACGGTGTTTTATGACCCACCGTGTGAATTTGATGCATGATGTTAACCAAGCCGAGTCGAACGATGCATGCCTTGGCGATTTCGTGCACCACATCTCATCCACAATACATAAATGTTGCACACCGACTCATAGAGCCTATATTTGGTTGACTTCAAGGCTTTATTAGTTGGAATGTTTGTCAAACATGTCATAGCATTATAGCTTATACATTTGTGTAGGCTGTAGTGGGGTAGCCCATAAGGGGTACAACCCAATTAGGGTTAGTACTTGTACCCAACTGTTTCATATTTCATACCATTCCCTCGTTCTAATCTTCACATGGTATCAGAGCTTCCTCTCAGTTTGCCCCACCACTCTCACCGTTGACCTCCTGGAGAAGGCCCTCCTAGCTGGAGAGAAGAGCATAGTCGCTATAGGAGCCTCTCGTGGTGACCCTCGCACCCCCGTCTTTGAGGGGTGTTCTCCCTCCCGCCTCTTGCCCTCTCTTGCCTCTGCTGCTGCGGCCGACCTCGTTGGCTTCAAGTCGGTCGGCGCTGCTGGGGAGATCTGTCTGGGACGGGGGTTGCCGTCTTTGATCTTGACTATGATGCTATCCTTGCTGCCATTGATTCTGTGACTACAAGTGTTGACGGTGACTGTTACCTGTGTGTACCGCCTGACCCGGGCATTGAGGCCACCGCTCTAGGTGCTGGTGAAGGTGCTGCTCTAGATGCTAGTGCGTCTGCTGCCCCAGGTGCTAGTGCGTCTGCTGCCCCAGGTGCTGGTGAGTCTGCTCTCTTAGGTACTACGTCGGCTCAGGCCTTCCACACCTTCACCCTTTACTCGGGTGCGTCACGCTCCTTCTTTCAAGACCACACCACTCTTACGCCGCTCGGTCGGCCGGTTGCAGTCTCCCTAGCAGACCCCTCTGGGGGTCCTGTCCTTGCTAGCTTCTCCACTGTCTTAGCGTGCCCGGCAGCCACCTCTGGCACCCTGTCAGGTCTCTACCTCCCCTCTTTCTCTACGAGCTTGGTGAGTGGAGCGGACCTACAGGATAGGGGGGTTGACCAGTTCACTCCTGCGAGTCAGCGAGTGACCCATTGCACGTGTGTCCGGACAGGCCGACACTTGGCCACCATCTCCCGTCGGCCACGGTCGAACCTGTACACCCTTACTACTGAGTCTCCTCCGGGTGCTGAGTCTGCCCAGGTAGCTGCGTCAAGTCAGGTGTTTGCTGCAGCGTCCAGATCTGGTCTTGAGTCTGCTCCCTGCTCGTGTCGTCTTCTGTCCCACCAGACTCTCCTTTGGCACCACCGCCTTGGTCACCCCTCCTTGCCTCGTCTCCGAGGAATGGTCTTCCGTGTCCTTGTCTCTGGTCTCCCTCGGTCTCTCCCTCCCCTTCCTCCGGGGCCTGGCCCTACCTACGTCCCTTGCATCGAGCGGCGACAGCGCGCCGCCCCTCACTCCTCCGAGTTTCATCCGACAGAGGCTCCGCTGCAGACTCTCCTCATGGACGTGTGGGGCCCAGCCCACGTCAGTGGGCAGGGGCGCGAGTGGTACTTTCTGTTGGTGGTTGACGACTACTCGCGTTACACCACAGTCTTCCCCTTGTGTAGCAAGGGTGACGTCACTCAGGTGTTGATCGACTGGATCCACGCAGCTCGTCTCCAGCTCAGAGAGAGTTTTGGCTCGGACTTTCCTGTTCTGCGTCTGCACTCAGACAAAGGCGGGGAGTTTTCCTCTGCCCGTTTGGGAGCCTTCTGTCGTGCACCGGGCATCCGCCAGACCTTCACGCTTCCGGCCTCTCCACAGCCAAATGGGATTGCTGAGCGCCGCATTGGCATGGTCATGGACGTCGCTCTTACGTCCATGATGCATGCGGCTGCCCCCCATTTTCTGTGGCCATTTGCGGTTCAGTACGCCGCCCATCAGCTCAACCTTCAGCCCGGGGTCTCCCTGCCAGAGACCTCCCCCGCCTTGCGGTGGACCGGGAAGGTTGGCGATGCGTCTGCGTTTTGGGTCTGGGGATCTCGGGCGTTTGTCCGCGACTTGTTTGCGGACAAGCTGTCCCCCCGTGCTGTTCCCTGCGTCTTCCTTGGCTTCCCCCCTGACGCGCTTGGGTTGCAGTTTTACCACCCCACATCGCGCCGTGTCCAGTCCTCCCAGGACGTCACCTTTGACGAGTCGGTACCTTACTACCGTCTCTTCCCCTACCGCACTGCGCCTCTCCCCCCGCTGCCGATCTTCCTTGCACCAGGTCCTCCCCCGGTAGACCCCCTCCCCCCTCAGGGTCCTGCCCCGTCAGGTGTGTCCCAGGTAGACGCAGTCGAGCGTGTCGAGGTAACTGTTGACTCTGGTGCTGCTAGAGTTGCTGAGCCTGCAGGTGCCGGGTCTGGGGGTGCTGAGACTGGGAGTGCCGGGTCTGGGGGTGCTGAGACTAGGGGTGCTGAGTCTGGGAGTGCTGAGCCTGGGGGTGCTGGGTCTGGGGGTGCGGAGCCTGGGGGTGCCGAGCTTGGGGGCGCTGGGTCTGCTCGTGTTGCCGCCGGCGGTGCTTCGTCGAGGCGGGAGCCGCTCTCTCCACAGGAGCTGCGCGAGAGGTTTGCTTGCTGCTGGAGACGTGCTGCTGAGACTGGGGGTGCTCCTGGGGCTACTGGGGTTGGTCCTACTGGAGTTGCTGGCGGTACTGGTGCTACTGGAGGTGGAGCTGCTAGGGGTGTTGGCGCTGGTGTTTGTACTGGTGCTGGTGCGTCTGGGGGTGCTGCTGAGGCTGCTGGTGCTGACGGTCCTCCTGGAGTTGGTGCTACTGGAGCTGGAGCTGCTGGGGGTGTTGGCGTTGGCGTGCCTGCTGGCGCGGGTGCTTCTAAGGGTGCTGGAGTTGGCGGTGTTGGAGCTGGAGGTGCTGCTGGCGCTAGTGCTGCCGGTGTGGGTACTAGTGCCGTCCATGCTGGTTCTGGAGGCGCTGCGCGGCCGAGGCCGTACTTCGTTCCGCTCCTGGAGCAGATTCCTTGTCTCCCGCCCTCTACTTGTCCTGCTCCTCCCTTAGAGTGTTCGCAACCTGTCCAGTCGCAGTCACAGTTACAGCCCGCCTCTCCTCTTCCTGCTCCTTCTCCCTACACTGGTCCTACTGGAGGTCTTGCTGAGCGTCGTGAGCCTGCGTCTTGTCCCGCGTCGCCTTTTCGTGCTGCTCGCACTAGTCATCGTGCTGCGCGTCCTCGTCCTCCTGCAGTCCCCGGCACACACCAGATGGCACTGCGTCCATCCACTGCCCCTCTGCGTGTCCCGTTGCCGTCTCCTCCATGGTCCTTTCTTCCTGTTCTTGGTGACCCGGAGTCTGTCTCTCTTTGTGCTGCTAGTCCTTCGGTCACGCGCCTTCTTGCTACTGTTGTCACTGACCCTTCCTTTGAGTCCACTTTTGCATCTACCCTAGTTGCTGAGCTTGTCAACTTTGCTGCTCGTTGTCGTCTAGACTACGCTGCCAGTCTCGTTGCTGAGTCTGAGTCTGTCTGTCCTCCGTCCGTCGGGGGTGAGTGTGCTCTTAGCACGGACGTCCTTGAGGACAGGCAGGAGGAGTTCCAGTGCTTTGCGGCTGCTTTGCCCCATCTCGTGTCCACGCTGATTGCCCCTGAGGGAGACCCGGAAGTACCAGACATCTCGACTCCTCGATCGTACGGTGATGCGATCGAGGGTCCCTACTCCTCACAGTAGCAGTCGGCCATGGACGCAGAGATGGCTTCCAGGAAGTCCACAGGCACCTACGTCGATGAGGTTCCCCCACCTGGGGCGAACATCGTCAGTGGCATGTGGATTGTTAGGGTGAAGCGGCCGCCGGGTTCTCCGCCTGTATTCAAGGCGCGTTACGTGGCTCGAGGCTTCAGTTAGCGGCAGGGAGTTGACTACTTTCAGACCTTCTCTCCCACCCCGAAGATGACCACTCTTTGGGTGTTGCTGCACGTAGCCGCTCAGCGTGACTACGAGCTTCACTCTCTTGACTTCAACACAGCTTTCCTGCAAGGCAGCCTGCACGAGGAGATCTGGCTGCGCCGCCCTCCAGGCTTCACTGGGACTTTTCCTTGTGGTACCCAGTGAAGCCTCCGGCAGCCAGTCTACGGTCTCCGCCAGGCCCCCCGTGAGTGGCACGACACACTGAGGACTACACTTGCGGCTCTTGGGTTTGCTCCTTGTACAGCCGACCCGTCGCTGTTTCTGCGCACCGACACCTCTCTGCCGCCGTTCTACATCCTCGTGTACGTCGACGACTTGGTCTTTGCCACTGCTGACACTGCTGGACTCGCCCACATGAAGTCCGAGCTGCAGAAGAGACACACGTGCGCAGACTTGGGTGAACTGCGCAGCTACCTTGGCTTGCAGATCACCCGGGACAGAGCACAGCGCACCATTACCCTGACTCAGTCACACATGGTGCAGCAGGTCCTTCAGCGCTTGACTGGATCGATGTGGCCCATCGAGCTCAGAAAAGAGAGTTGTAGTTCAATTATCCACCTTGGTACAATACGAGGCTATATATAGTCTCGACACAAGGCAAGTTACCTAGGTGTTACGCGAATGTTCTGAGGGTCGCAAAGTGCCACGAACAGAACCTTCCTGAACTCAGTAGAAAGCAGTTCGGTGGAAATCGAATAGGCTCTAGTTCGGTACACGTAGGCTGGTTCGGTGCTATATAT